CAGTTACATAGGTGCAGATAGGGAAGAACACACACATATCACAACAGTACACATGTGCTACAATAACAACACACACGAACACACTATACCACACTCTGGACTCTTTAACTGCTTACAACACCTGACTTTACAACACCTCACAACACCAGTCAGCACAACATCCACAACACACACTACAACACCCTCACGCACAATAACACTCTCAACAACACCAATACAACTAATAACACAACAAGCCCCATTCACTACAACACTCCCATGGAAGCACCCTTCACTCTCCAGCATAACACCACAACACCCACACTCACCACAACACACCACACTCACTACAGCACCACACTCACCACAAGATACACACTACAACACTACACCACAACACCACCCCGTGCTTCAAGGCATGACCTCCCCCCCTGGACCACTGTCAAGGGTGCATGCTGCAAATTGATTATTGACTCTCACTGTTTCTTTGTTTCTCTCAATCCCTAAAGTGACTTGAGCCAGACCATGGGTAACATCCAGGCGGGAAGGTCAGAGCGCCCCTTAGACTGCAGACAGTGGCGGAAAAGAGCCAGTGCTTGCTCGTGCTTGCTTACCCAGAAGACTGGCTACACAAGCACAAAGGTCACGCAGCACGAGAAACTGTATATAACTCAGCCTTGGCGCTCTATAAGAATGATTATAATCAATAAGAATGATTATATATTCAGTTCCACTTCATACCACCGTCAGCGGTTGTGTCAGGTGGAGGTCACTCCTCTCCCTTCCCACAAACTGTTACATCAGACGGCACGGTGCCATCTGACCGTGGCACGGTGGGGTGGCACTCTCTCCTCACAACCCACTGGACCACGGGTTGATTCTCGCGCGCAGCGAGAAAGTCGTCTGTTGTGGTTCGCATTCTGAGGAGGATCAGACAGTAACCAGAAGCCAAAGAGAAGGCTTCGATAATGGCCTTATCGAGGCCTCTTTGCCTCGATAAGCCAAAGAGGCGTTCCGTCCTCGATAATGGGGGAAACTATAGAGTAAGCCCTTAATACACTATATTGTATTTCTTGGTAAGTTGCATTCATGTCGCTTCAGAGCTTTGATTGTCCCGGTCTTATGGGGGCCTCTCCTCCACCCCAGGTGGCAGGTCAGTACCGCAGTCCCTGGGGTTCTGTGCTAATTAGATAGCGGACCATGGGGTTCTGTGCTAATTAGATAGCGGACCATGGGGTTCTGTGCTAATTAGATAGCGGACCATGGGGTTCTGTGCTAATTAGATAGCGGACCATGTGGTTCTGTGCTAATTAGATAGCGGGCCATGGGGTTCTGTGCTAATTAGATAGCGGACCATGGGGTTCTGTGCTAATTAGATAGCGGACCATGGGGTTCTGTGCTAATTAGATAGCGGACCATGGGGTTCTGTGCTAATTAGATAGCGGACCATGGGGTTCTGTGCTAATTAGATAGCGGACCATGGGGTTCTGTGCTAATTAGATAGCGGTCCATGGGGTTCTGTGCTAATTAGATAGCGGTCCATGGGGTTCTGTGCTAATTAGATAGCGGACCATGGGGTTCTGTGCTAATTAGATAGCGGACCATGGGGTTCTGTGCTAATTAGATAGCGGACCATGGGGTTCTGTGCTAATTAGATAGTGGACCATGGGGTTCTGTGCTAATTAGATAGCGGACCATGGGGTTCTGTGCTAATTAGATAGCGGACCATGGGGTTCTGTGCTAATTAGATAGCGGTCCATGGGGTTCTGTGCTAATTAGATAGCGGACCATGGGGTTCTGCGCAAATTAGATCTCAACATTGAGGTTTTCCGCTGTGAGATGCAGATGTATAAGGTTCTGCTCTGGCTGTTTGACCAACCCGGGGGTTATGCACTCTCAGGATGCCAACTCAAGTGATCAAGTGTAGGTCGAGGCAGCACTGAGGTCACCTGTACAGCACGTGTAGTGAGATATTTATCCTTCCCCCCCTTCCCTTCCCTTCCCTTCCTTCCCTTCCCTTCCTCTCTCTCTCTCTCTCTCTCTCTCTCTCTCTCTCTCTCTCTCTCTCTCTCTCTCTCTCTCTCTCTCTCTCTCTCTCTCTCTCGCCCTCCCCTCACATAATACCAGTACAAAGCCAGAACTGAAAATTAACCAAAAAGTTAATCCTAGCAGTCTTTGCCATTCCCAGGAAAATTACGACTTTTTTTCTATGTTGGTTTGTTTCAGACCAGGCTGGCACTCCCCAGGCTGGCACTCCCCAGGCTGGCACTCCCTTCGTAGGCACCTCGTTGTTTACACTCCCTTGACTGTAGATGGTCTTGACTTCATTTTGGGGATTCGTGGTGGTAATGTCGGGGCCAGACGTTGGTGGGGGGGAGGGGAGAGTTCGGAGGGCCGGGGGGGAGAGAGAGAGAGAGAGAGGAGAGAGAGAGAGAGAGAGAGAGAGAGAGAGAGAGAGAGAGAGAGAGAGAGAGAGAGAGAGAGAGAGAGAGAGAGAGAGTAGGCAGGTAGGCAATAACCACAATACAAGTCGTTCTACCATCAAGCCGGCTATACCATTCCCTGGCCTCTGGAACATCACTCAATCAGCAGTCACTCACTCCAAGACTGACTCCTCCGGAACATGTGTAGCAACTTGGTATGAGAGAAATCCAGAAATACGAGGAGCAAACATGTAGACTAACTGTAGAAATCGTAGAAGTAAATCATACACAAACACACACACACACAGAAACAAGCACGCACGCACACATAAGAACGTTCAACACATACACACACACATACACACACCCTCACCCCAGCTACAAAGTGCTCATTCATCAAAGAGAATGTGAAATCTAGGGTAAAAAAGTGATGGCATATTTCTGAAAAAGATGAGGAATAAACCCTTTGAGAGATATTGGCGTCGTGATTATTAAAAATGTCATTACTCTCCGTCTGTTGATCTGTTGATGAATCTTAGAGAGAGAGAGAGAGAGAGAGAGAGAGAGAGAGAGAGAGAGAGAGAGAGAGAGAGAGAGAGAGAGAGAGAGAGAGAGAGAGAGAGAGAGAGGCATACCTAGATGCAGGGTTGAGTTGTAGCTCCCAAGTACAGCATTTTCAGCTATCAATTGGATAATGAATATCTTCCTCCACAGACCTTATATTCCTTAAAAACTATGTAAAGATGTTTTAACAACAACTTAAACCGCTAAATATATTTTTAACTCTTACGTTTTAAGAAATTTTCGAGACGTCTCTGACGCCCAACCACTTAGGCTGGACGGTAGAGCGACGGTCTCGCTTCTTGCAGGTCGGCGTTCAATCCCCGACCCTCCAGGTGGTTTGGTACTGTTCCTTTCCTCCGTCCCATCCCAAATCCTTAATCCTGAACCTTCCAAGTGCTATATAATCGTAATGACTTGGCGCTTTCTCCTGCTAGTTCCCTAGGGGCCTGACAGCTGAGTGGACAGCGCTCAGGATTCGTAGTCCTGAGGTTCTGGGTTCGATCCCCGGTGGAGACGGAAACAAATGGGCACAGTTTCTTTCATCCTGATGCATCTGTTCACCTAGCAGTAAATAGGTACCTGGGAGTTAGGCAGCTGCTACGGGCTGCTTCCTGGGGATATGTAACAAAAAGGCGACTAACTTTTGGGAGACTGCATGCTGCCAGCCAACTTCTCAAAGTGAATATTGACAAGGTGTTGTCCAGCTTCAGAGAACATAGGGAATTTAAATTGTTTGAGAAATCAAGAACGCGATCCACTGTCACCGCTGCACTGAGTCCAACATTTTCTCACCACAACTTCTACTCAGCCAACTTTTAAAAGAGTCCAAAAACAACTAGAAACGATCTATAGATATACAAAAAAGGCTTTTTCCTAAGTTGAGAGAACCGAGCTTCAACGCTCCAGAAGACTGAATAAGGGAATAATCATATGAGACAATAGTAGGAACTGAAAAAGAAGTTGGTATAGCTTTTTACTTTTTACAAAGTAAAAACCAGCAGAAGGAGGGTTCACAGAACTCCGGGTCACAAATGAGTCACAGAGATGTCAGAAGGAACTGCTTTAATTTAAGTTCTGGAAATTAAATTAGTGAGATAAAGAAGTGGTTGTAGCGAGATCGCTGCCGTTGCACTACCACTGACTCGAAAGATGGGGAGTACGAGCTACCCCTGCAAGCTCATTTGGGAGATGTGAATCTATATTAGTACATCTATATGTGTACATCTATATTAGTACATCTATATGAGTATACACACTCCCCGGCTAAACACACGAACCAGTTCAAGTACATGCTGGCAAACCACACATTCTCTCTCTCTCTCTCTCTCTCTCCCCCTCTCTCTCTCCCTCTCTCTCTCTCCCTCTCTCTCTCTCCCTCTCTCTCTCCCTCTCTCTCTCACTCCTCTCTCTCTCTCCCTCTCTCTCTCCTCTCTCTCCACTCTCTCTCTCTCTCTCCCTCTCTCTCTCCCTCTCTCTCCCTCTCTCCCTCTCCCTCCCTCCCTCCACAGCCAACACACAGCGACCGCCACAATCAATATTCCAGTCTGCCTAAAATTAATCGGTGCCCTTAATTGAGTCGGCGGTTTTTGGCGGGTGGTTGCTTTGAGAGGTGCTCCTCCACGCTCCCGGGAACATGTTCCGTAGCCCGAGCTGCACTTTTGATGAGATGACACGCCGCCTCCCCCTCCTCCTTCTTCTTCTCCTCCTCCTCCTCCTTCTCTCCTCCCTTCCCTTTGCCCCTGAAGTTGGGGGCTTCCCTTTTTTCCCCTCGAGGAGGGAAAGAACCATTTTCAAGTCATAAAAGCAATTTGCTCTTTGGTGAGAATGATTTAATCTTTTTTTTTCCGAAAATCGATTTTTTTCTCTTGTCTGTTGAAACGGTTTCTTCTTTGTGGGGTGTTTTGGTGTTCTTGTAAGACTCTGGCTTCCGCTCGGTAGGTACTCCATACAGCACTACGGGGAAGGCTTTTATTTTTGTTACTGTCAGTGACTTTTCTTGTAAAATTGTAATTCTTCAAGAGTGATATATTCTTTTTAGCTTTGATAATTGGTAAATTGGATTTTCTCTTTGATGTCACTAACTTTTTCTCGGTCACTGTCTGGTCCTCGGTCACTGTCCAGTCCTTGGTCACTGTCCAGTCCTTGGTCACTGTCCTGTCCTCGGTCACTGTCCAGTCCTCGGTCACTGTCCAGTCCTCGGTCACTGTCCAGTCCTCGGTCACTGTCCAGGCCTCGGTCACTGTCCTGTCCTCGGTCACTGTCCAGTCCTTGGTCACTGTCTAGTCCTCGGTCACTGTCCAGTCCTCGGTCACTGTCCAGTCCTCGGTCGCTGTCCAGTCCTCGGTCACTGTCCAGGCCTCGGTCACTGTCCTGTCCTCGGTCACTGTCCAGTCCTTGGTCACTGTCTAGTCCTCGGTCACTGTCCTGTCCTCGGTCACTGTCCTGTCCTCGGTCACTGTCCAGTCCTCGGTCACTGTCCAGTCCTCGGTCACTGTCCAGGCCTCGGTCACTGTCCAGTCCTCGGTCACTGTCCAGTCCTCGGTCACTGTCTAGTCCTCGGTCACTGTCCAGTCCTCGGTCACTGTCCAGTCCTCGGTCACTGTACTGTCCTCGGTTACTGTCCAGTCCTCGGTCACTGTCCTGTCCTCGGTCACTGTCCAGTCCTCGGTCACTGTCTAGTCCTCGGTCACTGTCCAGTCCTTGGTCACTGTCCTGTCCTCGGTCACTGTCCAGTCCTCGGTCACTGTCCAGTCCTCGGTCACTGTCCAGGCCTCGGTCACTGTCCAGTCCTTGGTCACTGTCCAGTCCTTGGTCACTGTCCAGTCCTCGGTCACTGTCCAGTCCTCGGTCACTGTCCAGTCCTCGGTCACTGTCCAGTCCTCGGTCACTGTCCAGTCCTCGGTCACTGTCCAGTCCTCGGTCACTGTCCAGTCCTCGGTCACTGTCCAGTCCTCGGTCACTGTCCAGTCCTCGGTCACTGTCCAGTCCTCGGTCGCTGTCCTCTACTCGTTCTCTTTTCCAGTAATTATTTATTTTGTCCTTTCTGTACGCATTTGATCCTTGGTCTCTTGTTGTCCCCCCTCGGTCTCCTGTCGTCCCCTCGGTCTCCTGTCGTCCCCTCGGTCTCCTGTCGTCCCCTCGGTCTCCTGTCGTCCCCTCGGTCTCCTGTCGTCCCCTCGGTCTCTTGTCGTCCCCTCGGTCTCTTGTTGTCCCCCCCTCGGCCCCCCTCTCTCTTGTCGTCCCCCTCGGTCTCATGTCGTCCCCTCGGTCTCCTGTCGTCCCCTCGGTCTCTTGTTGTCCCCCCTCGGTCTCCTGTCGTCCCCTCGGTCTCCTGTCGTCCCCTCGGTCTCCTGTCGTCCCCTCGGTCTCTAGTCGTCCCCCCTCGGTCTCCTGTCGTCCCCTCGGTCTCCTGTCGTCCCCTCGGTCTCATGTCGTCCCCTCGGTCTCTAGTCGTCCCCCCTCGGTCTCCCGTCGTCCCCTCGGTCTCCTGTCGTCCCCTCGGTCTCCTGTCGTCCCCCTCGGTCTCTAGTCGTCCCCCCTCGGTCTCCTGTCGTCCCCCTCGGTCTCCTGTCGTCCCCTCGGTCTCCTGTCGTCCCCTCGGTCTCTAGTCGTCCCCCCTCGGTCTCCTGTCGTCCCCTCGGTCTCCTGTCGTCCCCTCGGTCTCCTGTCGTCCCCTCGGTCTCTAGTCGTCCCCCTCGGTCTCCTGTCGTCCCCTCGGTCTCCTGTCGTCCCCTCGGTCTCCTGTCGTCCCCTCGGTCTCCTGTCGTCCCCTCGGTCTCCTGTCGTCCCCTCGGTCTCCAGTCGTCCCCTCGGTCTCCTGTCGTCCCCTCGGTCTCCTGTCGTCCCCCTCGGTCTCTTGTCGTCCCCCTCGGTCTCTTGTCGTCCCCTCGGTCTCTTGTTGTCCCCCCTCGGTCTCCTGTCGTCCCCTCGGTCTCTTGTCGTCCCCCTCGGTCTCCTGTCGTCCCCTCGGTCTCTTGTCGTCCCCTCGGTCTCCTGTCGTCCCCCTCGGTCTCTTGTCGTCCCCCTCGGTCTCTTGTCGTCCCCCTCGGTCTCTTGTCGTCCCCCTCGGTCTCCTGTCCTCCCCTCGGTCTCTTGTTGTCCCCCTCGGTCTCCTGTCCTCCCCTCGGTCTCCTGTCGTCCTCCTCGGTCTCTTGTTGTCCCCCTCGGTCTCCTGTCGTCCCCCTCGGTCTCCTGTCGTCCCCCTCGGTCTCCTGTCCTCCCCTCGGTCTCCTGTCGCCCCCTCGGTCTCTTGTCGTGTCCCCCTCGGTCTACTGTCCTCCCCTCGGTCTCCTGTCGTCCTCCTCGGTCTCCTGTCGTCCCCCTCGGTCTCCTGTCCTCCCCTCGGTCTCCTGTCGTCCCCCTCGGTCTCTTGTCGTGTCCCCTCGCTGCTAGACTTTTCCGGATAAAAAATATTCGCGTCATTTACAATCCTTCGTAAAAATCTTGTGACAAATTTTATTTTGAGCTCAAACGATCATGGAGTCCCGGGGTTTTATTCTCTCCCTCTTCCCCTCTACCTCCCACCCTCTTCCGGCTCTCCTCACTCTCCCCTCTACCTCCCACCCTCTTCCGGCTCTCCTCACTCTCCCCTCTCCCTCATCTCCTCTCCCCCTACACTCTCCTTCCTCCTGCCCTCCCTCCTATAATCCTCTTCCAGCACCCTTTTCCATTCCCCCTTCCCTAAGCCGCCTCTCCTCAGGTCTGCCATTTTCCACCATTACTCGCATTCCTCTATTCATATCTCGGGAGTTTCACCAGTTCCTATTCCATGTTATCTTCACCCTTCTCTCTCTCTCTCCCCTCTCCTTCTCTGCCCTTACATTATAACACCACACTATGTTCCTTCTGGGATAACTGTCGGATATCACCATAGAATTAAAGGGAGCACTCTTTAGGCCTATGCGAGAGAATAGGCCTTTTGTGAGGGCATAGGCTTGTGCAAGGAGAATAGGCCTATGTTCCATGTTATTAAATGATTTCTGTTGCCTAACATTGGCTCTGACCACAGAGATTATCACAGGTCCCACTCTATGTACTCATCACATGTACCACTGCTTACTCATCATTGGTACCACTGCTTGTACTCACCACAGGTACCACTGCTTGTACTCATCACAGGTACCACTGCTTGTACTCACCACAGGTACCACTGCTTGTACTCATCACAGGTACCACTGCTTGTACTCATCATAGGTACTACTACCTGTACTCACCACAGGTACCACTACCTGTACTCATCACAGGTACCACTACCTGTACTCATCACAGGTACCACTACCTGTACTCATCACAGGTACCACCGGCCACCTCAGGGCAGGTGACCGGCCAGTTCCGGCGGAATATTTACGTTGAAAAATGAAAAATGAATGGCAGCCATTTACCGTGATTAAATATTTACTGATAAATGTCCGTGTACTGTTGGTGGCACACACACACACACACACACACGCACACACACACACACACACGCACACACACACACACACACACACACACACACACACACACACACACACACACACCAAGAACCAGCCTAACCCCAGGTTCACTGGTTCCCAGAGAAGAAACTTTGGCGTTGGGGGCCGTCTCAGCAAGTCCCGCCTGGACTCTTACTGATGCTCGGGTTGTAATTTTGTAATCTTAGTATAAACAAAGCATAAGCTAAAATAACTAAAATATAAAGTTTAATTGTTCACTACAGTGAACAAATAATATATCAACAGAAAAATACAGTATCAAATTTTTTTTGGAGGGGAGCATATATTTGTGCATTAAACACATATGTTAGTGTGTGTGTTTCCAAACGTATGTTTGTGCATTTTTTTTCAGGATAGTCAGATATAACATGAACAAAATCACAAGATAATATTGTTGTTTTTATTCATACCATTTCCATATCTGTCACATCAGTTCATTCTTTTCCAACACGTGGCTTTATGCATGTGTGTGTATATATACCACACCACAGTACACCTACACATGTGTGCACTCTTCTCTATGTGTGCACTACTCCACCCCGGACACCCCTTCCCCCCCCCCCCTACTCCAGTGGAATCAACAAAAACTGAGGACGGGCAGAAGAGTCAGCTTCAAGGTAATGTACTCAAACATAGCAGCGATTACAAGTAGGGCAATCGAACTTAGCGAAAGTGCACAAGACTTGAACCCGGATGACCATTCAAGATGATGGAGAAGATTGTGTGAAAAAAGCTAGTGGAACATCTGGAACGAAAGAACTTTGAAACATCAGCATGGATTCAGGGATTGCAAATCATACCTCACAGGATTAACTGAGTTCTATGACCAGGCAACAAAAATCATGTAAGATAGAGAGGGCTGGGCAGACTGCATATTTTTGGACCACCAGAAAGCCTTTGACACAGTACTACATAAGAAACCAGTGCACAAGCTAGAGATGCAGGCAGGAATGGAAGGGAAGGTACTCCACTGGATAAGGGAGTACCTAAGCAACAGAAGGCAGCGAGTCACTGTGAGGGGTGAGGTCTTGGAGTGGCGAGGCGTCACCAGTTGAGTCCCATAGGGATCAGTCCTTGGACCTATACTGTTTCTGATGTATGTAAATGATCTTCCAGAGGGAAGAGACTCGTTCCTCTCAATGTTTCCTGATGATGCAAAAATTATGAGGAGAATTAAAACAGAGAAAGATAGTATGAGGCTACAAGATGATCTAGACTGACCTAGAAGGAATGGTCCAACAAATGGCAACTAAAGTTCAACCCAAGTAAATGTAAGGTAATGAAATTAGGCGGAAATTAGAAACTCTCTCTCTCTCTCCCTCAGAACCCTCCACAAACACACAGGTAATATAGCACTGTGCTAAAGACCGTCAGGTAATCGTTGCCAGTACAAATAATTGAAGGCTGCGTAAATAATGTCACTGATTATATGCTAAGCCTCGTTACTATATATGTCAATTAATATTTGAGTACGTCAATTATCGGGGTAGCGGTGTAATCGCCTCACCGGCATGGTTAATGAGGTCTCGAACGCGGTTTCTAAACTGAACTCCCGTGACCCCCCCCCCCCCCCGACCACTTCGATCTGAGCTGCGTTCTTTTCTAATTGCTCTTTATTGATATATTCTCATCAATATCATGATTAGTGTTTGTTTGTATTATTTGTATTTCTTCGTTTGTGTTAATTGTTTCATTTGTGTTATTTGGTCCATGTTTTGTTCCGTTATGTGTGCAACAGTTGCAACAGGACGGTGTATGTTCAGTCCGACCTCTTAAGGTCTCCCAACGTCAAGAAACTGTCGTACTAACGTGTCCTCTCCTAACCTACCAGAGGACCCAAAACAAAAAACGGGACAGCATGTCAATTTCGCCAGCCGCTTCCAATTTTCTAGTACGACAATTTTTGGCCCCCTAGGTCGAGTATTCGTCAAAGTGCCACATTCTATTAGGAGGACGAGTTGGTATGTTATATTTGGTGCCTCCGTGAGATCCGTTATCTCACGGGCCGTTATCTGGCACAAGAATAATTTACCAAATTCTCCCCCCGAGATAAATTAGTTTTGTTTCAATGATGTGATTTCCATCTTTCTTGTCACCGGGAAAAGACGTGTTCCATCAGCTTCGTCGGCGCTGGCCGCTCATATTAACTCCAGGATCTCATCGAATTAGTTGTTCCAAAAGAGCGGTCTGTGGAACAACTAATTCAAGCTTGTGAGCTGTACAACAGGAGCGGCCCGATCTGACTACAAGCCTGTCGGGTTGCAAATATAGAAAAGAATTTATTTGACCATATGTAGGGTGTGTGTAAATAGAGGGGTAGTACACAGAGTTGAGTACTTACACATAATACAACAGAGCATGGCGCTTGAGTCCATGTATACGAGTACACTCACACCAACAAGAGCATGGCATATTCATCACCTCAGATATTTTTTTGTAATAAATGTGATTTTTCTGGACATTTTTACATCATTAATTCGAATTTCTCTTCTTAATAATATAGCTCGTGTATGACGTTCGCGGAATCATTAATGTTTGGGGAATGTATATGTGTGTAAGAGAGAGAGAGAGAGAGAGAGAGAGAGAGAGAGAGAGAGAGAGAGAGAGAGAGAGGAAGAGAGAGAGAGAGAGAGAGAGAGAGAGAGAGAGAGAGAGAGAGAGAGAGAGAGACAAGGACACACACGCATAGACAGGCAGAGAGACAGAGAATGACAGTGGGAGACACAGAGACTGATACACAGGTAAACAGATAAACAGAGATACAAAGAGGCAGAGAGA